TTTTTTTATTTTATTAGTAACATATAATCTAATTTTTCCCATCTAATTTGATATTTTTTCTAAACAATTTCAATTTTTCTAAAATACTAATTTCTCACAAATTCCTAAATTTTAAATGAAAAATATGTTCTTATTTTTGAACTTTATAAACTTAGAACCCTAGAACATGTATGCCATACAACCTTTAACAATTAACAACAACAACCTTCAAGTAAACATCTTTAGGACACGTCTCAATAGTTTGTTTTTTTATTTTTTATTTTTTATTTTGATTACACAATAAGAGGCAACAATCTTTTATCTTTCATTCAATTCCACCGGTATGCGATGCAACTTGAATTCAGAATCTCTTACTTTTAGAGAAATAAGATGACCACTGAATTATTTAGATCATTAACAACACGTCTCAATAGTTAAGTTAAAAACCTAAACCTAAACCTTTAAATTAAATGTTTCAAGTTCGAATATTATAATGAATGGAGAGAAGTTTAGAAAAATGAAAATTATATTCTATTATATAATTTATCATCTAGTGTATTAAAAAAAAAAAACCTTCAAGTAAATGATAACATGATAATTGAGTTTTAAAATTAGCAACAACAACCTTCGAAGTCAATGATAACAGATTCACCTAATCTTGTTTCACAATTGTCCATGATAATTGTTGATTGGCTCATTCTGCACAACTAGATAAAGTGAGTCAATACATGACTATTGTGTGTACATCAACACCGGTTAGGATATGTTTAATTAATTAAGGTGAATAATCTTTTTGATTTCGTTGTGATTTTGTTGCTAAACATATAAAACCTCTATTATTTTCTATTAATATTAGTATTTTCTATCTAGGTCCCAAAATTAGCTTTCGGCATGTTAATTATTAAGTTAAAAAAATTGCAATGATACTGCAATTTGGATTATTTTAGTATCCACCAATCCTTTAGTAAAGGCTCAAAGAAAAAAGAACTCCCCCATGCGGCTCACTGTTTGAGCCGCGTTCTTCTTTGAAGAGCATGTGGAGGTCACTCGTTCGAGTTTTTTTGAATATTAAAAATAGATATTAATCTAATCTAATCATTTTTTATTGTAAAAAAAAAAAAAAAAGACTCAAAGGAAAAAAACATTTATTAATTAAACTATTAAAGCGATTTGCACACATGTCACGGTTCCGCATAAAGGTTTTTCAAAAATGATTCAAGCATGATTTTTTTTTTTTGATTTATTTATTTTCTAAATTTACATATTATTATTTTTTTAAACAAATTTGCAATGTTCAAATTCGAATGTTGCCCAGGAATAGAAATGTACTTTACGGGTGCCTTATGACCACTGAGTTGAAAGGTACAAGTGCACATATTATTTAAATGTTTGATTTTTATTTATTTAAAATTAATAATATTAAATATATATTTATTTAATAATATTAAGTACATATTTATTAAAAATACGTTTAAGTACTATTTTGATCCTTCAATTTTTTATTTTGGTATTAAAATTATCTATCACCTTTAAAAAGTATCAAAATTATCCTTAAACTTTCATTTTCGATACAAAAATAATCTTTCTGTCAATTAAGTGACAGGTGGCATGTTATCTTGTCATAAAATCATCGAAACTTTTTAATTTTAACTACGTGTAAATTCCACATAAGAAAATTTAACATTTTTTTATTATTATTTCATAAATTTTCAAAA